AGGATTACGAGGAGGAGGAGGAGGAGGAGGAGGACGACGACGACCACTACGACTACCATTACGACTACGATTACAGCTTCGCCTACGACCATGACGACGACGACGAGAACTGTAATAACATGCGCAATACGAATAATACTAAGAAGAATACTACTACGGGGAAATCATAGTAATGTTAACAACAATAATAATGGCAATGACACCCTCTCCACCTTGTAGCTGCGTAGGTGGGAATCTTCACATTGCCGAAAGAGGGTGCCCTCTGCCTCTGGAAGGCCTTTGCTCTTAGCCCATTTGTTTGCAAGCTCCCATTTCAGCCCGAAAGTGGGATCTTCCGGAATGGCTGCTATGCTCAATATAAATGAGCTGACGTTCCACAATGTGTCTGTGTCGATAGGGTCGTAGTCCAGCACAACCTCGAAATGGAAGCCTTCATCAACTTTTTGGATCCGAACCTGCACTTTGATGTCAGACTGTAACGCCTCAGCAAGGACGGTTTTCAGGGGCGGTATGCCCTGATACAAGGCTACTTGGTTCTTCCTCAAAGGAAACACGGAGCCGCTTGTGTTGAGAAAAGTCTTCATGGACATACCTTAGTCCCGATCCGATGAGCTTCCAGTATGAGCTATTAGAGCCTAAAATGCCCCATTAGCCCCTTGATAAGGGTAGAGCAAGGGCCCTTTAAGGTCTAATAGCCCATCCTGGTTTGGAAGAAACAAGGATCCTTCTTGCGGTTGTGAAAGGCATCCCGTACGCTAAAAAAGGGATCCCGAAGGTCTACCTAAACCCTGAACTCTAAACTCTAAACTCTAAATGCTAAACTCTAAATCCTAAACCCTAAATCCTAAACCCTAAATCCTAAACTCTAAATCCTAAACCCTAAATCCTAAACCCTAAATCCTAAACCCTGAATCCTAGCCCTAATTCCTAAACTCCACCTAGATGCTCCCATAGGATAGCGAAGCATCCAGCATGTCTGACACTAAATGATAAGGTGACCCCTTCTTCAGGTACACGCAGCTGCCACCATTCCCAGAGCACAACTCTGCCATGAGATTGAAAGAATATGGCGACTCTTCAGCCTGCTCTTAGGGTTTGGAGTTGTGGGCTTGGGGGTTCAGGGTTGCGGCTTCGGGGTTTGGGTTTGGGGTTCAGGGTTTTGCGGTTTCAGGGGTTGGGGCTTAGGCTCTCGCGCTAAGGTTTAGGATTTAGGGTTCGGGGTTTGAGTTTTAGGGTCACTCTTCCGCCTGCTTGTCTTCCTTGTGTAGCTGCTCACAGGTCAAGGATGTGGGCCCGAAAATGAAGAAGCATCCGTTTGTGCTGGTGATCCTGGATTCAAAGCAGCCCCTCTGCTGAGTGCAGTATTGCTGGCATTTTCCCTGCTTCATGGGGAGGTAGACCGTCGAAAAACGGTCTGTAAGCGGCGAATTGAAAGGAATGCCATAGGGGATGTTTGAAAAGGCAATCTCAATCTGAAGGCGGCGAAGATCCACGGGAAGCGCAATCTCACCATGGTCTAACCTTGGCCCTATGGCGGTTTCGGAAAATTGAGGGTACCATTTTGGGGATCCCCGTTATAAGGATTAACATATATTTGGGGGGTCTAAATTGCAGCTCCCAGCTTTTTGGAAACTACCATGTCTGGAGTACTGCACGTTGTCACCAAAGCGCATATAAAGTTGACGGCCCGAAAACCTAAATGTTCTGTAGTCTGAACTCCTCGTATCCCCCTTAGTAACCCCCATACTGCTCCCCTATATAACCCCTTTAAGGAATTTGAAAGAATCCTGAAGTCTGCCCAAGCAACCAATTCCCCAAGATGCACCGGTGGTACTGTAGGCCGGTGGATGTAACGCCTGTGAGTAGCAAGGTGCGAAGGATCGTTGTGACCTGCACAACCTGCAATCGATATTGCTCCTCCTGCAGAAGCGAGGACACAATCGGCTTAAACATCAATCCCATAGTGAACTGAGGAAATCGTGTACCAACACTGCTTAGGATCCCCAACAGAATGCAACTCAAAGAGTAAACGGTTGTATGCCTGTGTATATATATATACAATTATATACACACATACTAAGTAGATAGAATATGGGGTATATGGGGATCATATTATAATATACCCAGAGCCATATTCTATCTACTTAAGGGGGACTATATAGGGTGGTGCGGCTTTTCTCCATCCAAAGTAACAAGAAGTATGTTCAGGCACGATTCAGCGACTTCTCAACTCCGGGTGGCTGTTGGCTGTTGAGGAAGTTAGATTAAGTGAAAAGGAAACCCTCATTTTTACCACATATCCATGCCATGGTAACTCAACCCTTAAACGTAAGGCCCACATACAGTATGGCAACTTAGTACTTAACAGCAACCGATGGCTATTCCGGCCTGTATCGGCGTTTTGGCGCTGATGGCAACCCTGGTGGGATAGGCAGAATGAGCACGGTGAAGTCGGACTTTGGTGGAACGCCTGGGTGTAGAGCACTTCAGAGAGGTCCCCTCCAAAGGGATTGATAAGAATATGGGCGGTTGTCAAAATTACGGTCCCTTTTAAAAAAAATTGGGTAACTTAAATATTAGGTGCCAAATTATAATAGGGATCCAAAAAGGGACCGTGATTTTGACAACCACCCATATATGATATATGGGTCACAATTCATCCCGCCCCGTGGTATGGTCAATCATATAGAGTATGACGAGCTTATAACGCACCCCATAGTCCTGTCGCCTGTGGTCTGTCCTGTGTGTCTGGGTCCTATGGTCTAAGGTTTAAAGAAGGTTTGTAATTGTTTCAGAAAGGGTTTAGTAGGGGCTTATAGAAGCGTTTCTCAAGAGAGTTCATCATAGGTCGGTCTCATAGAAGGTCTACGAAAGGTTTATGGAGGGTTAGACAAGTTCTGGAGGTTCGAGGGTTTATACAATTTCCTCACTCTGTGGCCTGTGGTCTGGGTCCTGCGGTGTAGGGTTTACAGTGCGTTCATACTGTTGATACGAAAAATCCTGCATGACCTTTTTTATACCATAGTCTCATTCTTCCCAGTTAGTTAGGGTCATGCAGGATTTCTATTCTCCACCACAGTGTTTGTAGAGGGTATGTAACAGGTTTATAGAGAGTTCCTGGTTCGTGGTGTTGAGAGGTCTGGCCTGAGACCCGGATGGGGGGGGAGATATTAGAATTGGGGGTTTTTACATTGGGTTATATAGGGGTTATAATGGGATAATGGAAAATAAAATGGAAACTACTATTTAGGGTTTAGGGTTTAGGGATTAGGGTTTAGACCCCTATAATGGAGAATCAAATGGAAAAGAAAATGGAAAATGAAATGGAAACTGGGTTTATATAGGGGATTATAAGGATTAGGGTTTCCCAAAATTGGGGGTACCCTTTTGGGGGGTCCCCATAATAAGGACCATAATATTTTGGGGTCCATATTGGGGTCCCCTTATTTTGGGAAACTACCAGATCATGAAGAGCGGGGGAGGTCGGAGGCGATTGGAGGGTGTGGCAGGGGGCTGGGAAGCGTGGAATGCGGATGCATCTACGGGTTGAGGGTAAGAATAAAGGACAACAGGAAGAGTAATGGAAGAAGCAAATGCAAACAGAACATGGAACATGAAATGGATACTGGTATTTCGCAGGGGGTTAGGGCTTCGAAGCTGGGTAGGCATATCACGAAATACATCTGTGAGCTGTAATTGTAGTTGTACTTGTCAATGTATGTATGATGTTTCCTGGCTGCAACTTGAGGTGTGCTTTCTCCTACCAGCGCTGTACATAGAGGAAAGGACGGAAGCAAATGGAAACTCCCCCGGAGGCTCCAGTTAACCAATAAGCCAGTTAAGGGATTCGGGTTTCGGGTCCATGTACCAATAATTGAGTAAGTGGGATTTGGGTAATAGTAATTGTCGTGCAGGTTTTGGGGGAGTATGTCAGTCTGGTGCACGTGGATCCTCAGGGTACCATGTTACGCACTAGTTCAAGATGATACAGAAATTCTTTGCTCTATCGCAGTTCCCAAGTGCTTTTCCATCCTGGTTCTTCCAAGAGGCAGTCAATCAGCTGGGTAACTACTACGATAGACTTAAGGGGCCTATAATATGGTGTTTCATGATGGCGTTATGAGGATAATAGCGATTCTATAGGGACCATTGTTCAACGTAATTAAACCGCTTCCCAGTTATATCACATACTACAGCCACAGCCTCAATGGATAATTTTTCAACGCCTTATGGCTACTCGCGAACCGTTGTCCAGTACCCCACACTTTCCGCTACTTCCAACAAGATATGCTGTACCCCAAACTAAACCCTAAGCCGTGCCCTAAACCGTAAACCCTACCTGCTGCTATCGAGCTGCATATTCCCAGTTTCAAATTTGGATTCCTGCGGTGGATCAGGATCTCCCGTAATAGACACGTCCTTAGTAGCCCAGTAACCATATGAAAGCCAGGGTACTCCATTTCTTGTTAACTAACTAAGTGCAAACAGAAGCCCAGAAGCAAAAAAAAGGTACCACTGGGCCTTCTAGCATCCAAAAATGTGGTCTGTTTATCATCCATGCTTGCCTCAATGGAGAGCGCGCGCCGCATGATATCAACGTAGAGAGTGTGCTCCCGAAGCTCTGGAGAAACTGAGGGAACCAACTCCTTAGCGGCTTAGGGTTTAGGCTTACCGGCGCGCAGCGGTTTCAAAATCGATCCGCAAAACAATCCATATATGATCTGGTAGTCTAGTCCCCATATTCGGGGGTTTCCCAAAATTAGGGGTATCCTTTTGGGGGGTCCCCGTAAAAAGGATTATAACATATGGGAGTTCTATATTGGGGTCCCCTTATTTCTACCATTCCCCTACGCACAACCCCAAACTTTCACTTTCTTGTTCACAACCAAATCCTAGGCCTTAAGCCATGACCCCTAAACCAGCACCAGCAAGGCTCACCAATGGTGGGCTCAAGCGAAGATAGCTGCGGAGTGTCGCTGCGGTGCTTGATGCAAAGCACCGTAGAGGTGAGATTCAAAGTGAAAATACCTCTCACCAGGAGGCTTTTAGACACACAAAAAACAGGCATAGTGCGCAGCAGCTGTAAGAAAGATGCAAAGCATCAGCCTGGATACCTATAGCAACTATGAAAACCCCAAAACCCAAAACTCTAAACAATAAGCCCTCAATCCCTAATTAAATCGTATCCGAGGTTCATAAAGCAACTGTGCAAACCCTAAACCCTAATAAAATCGTACCCGAGGTTCATATAGCAACCACAGGCATGAACAGCACAAGCGCCATGCGATGCTCGGAGGTCTGGCTGATCAGCCGACTTGCCCACCCCATGTCCCGCGTGGAGAGTCGGAGGTCACCTGTGGCTTTCGGGGTTAGGAATTTAGGATTTAGGATTTAAAGTTCAGGGTTTAGGAATCAGGATTATTTAGGATTTAAAGTTTAGGGTTTAGGAATCAGGATTTGGGGATTTTCGTAGCTCTTCTCTTCTGCTAGCAAATCCTGGCGAATCCTTCTTGCCCAAAAAGGCAGACAGCGTAGCAGCGCTTTGCATTAGGGTTGAGGGATCGGGTGTAGAGATTTGGGCTTGGATTTGGAGTCTGCGGTGTAGAGTTATGTCAGACGGGTTGTATCGCAAAAAAAGGACACCGCATTTTTACTCGTGCCAATGTTCCAAAGGAACGCGATCTACATATCTATTTATATATACCTGTATTTAGATATATATATATATACATAGATTGTTTATTGATTAAACCCTGCAATGACATCCTACTTCATATGGTCGAGAAGTGCTGAGATAGGAATGTTGCAAGGACCTGTGGAGATTGAGGGACTGTGGAGGTCCTTCAAATTTGGACCCAAATCTGCAGGATGTAAGGGAGGACCCTGTTCAAAAACAAAAAAAACCAGAGGGTCCATGTACCCAATAATTAGGTACTTGGGATTTGGGTAATAGTAATTATAGTACAGGTTTTGGGTAAGTATATGATTATTAGGTACTTGGACCCTTAGGGAAACCTAAACCCTCATCCATAAACCCTAACCGCTAAGTGAAAAATCCCCACCTTCCCCTGCTTCCAAAGCCCCGCTGGCACTCAGACTTGGAAGGTCTGTTGCAGAGGTCACGGTGCTTGCAGCTGCGCAGAAGTGATGTTCCGACATGACAGTAACCTGCTGTGCAGGGCTTAGGCTTTAGGGTGTAGGGCTTCGGGTTTAATGGTTTAGGGCTTGGGGTTTTGGGTTTACGGCTTGAGGTTTCAGGGTTCCGGGTTTAGGGCTTCGGATTACGGGTTTAGGGCCCAGGGTTTGAATCCTGGTCACAATGATTTGACTGTTGGGGAGTGCCCCTAGATGAACCCTGGTCTTACTGGTTGCTAGGAGGGGTTTAGGGTTTAGGGTTTAGGAGGAATGAAACCGTTTGGTAAACCCTATGCGCTGAAAAGGACAGAGAACTCTTTTCAATTCCGTCCTTCCTTGCTAACAACAAGCCGGGGTTCGACAAACAATGTAGATGACTGACAGCAGTACATGGGTTAGGTCAATCCCCCTGCAGTCGCAGCCTCTACACATGGAATTCGTAGGGCATGAATATTCCTTCCATAGTCCCTTGTTACCCTAAATCCTAAACCCTGGGCGGGGGATTAACCCTAAACCCTAAACCCTGGGGAATCAACTCCAGCCTTGTGTTCGCTGCTGACCGTCAAGTTCTCGCCCGCGTCCTCCAACTCCAGCATGCACTTTCCTTAGTTATCCAGTGTCTAGGGTTTTCTCAAGGTTCACCTTTTCGTTTCTGTTGGGCTTTATATAAAGGTTCAAGGCTAGCCTAAACCCTAAACCCTCAACCCTGGGCAAGCTTCTCTTCAGGCAGGCAGACTCAGTGTCCAGCGAGTACAGCAGAGCTGAAACCATGGTGTAAAGAGGAGATATGAAGACCAAAAGCTGTGTCCTGGCCATTTTGTAGTAATTTCAGAACCTGAAATTAAGTCAGTTTGAACTATGTTCTATGAGAGCACAATTTGGGGTGGGGTTGGGTGAGGTTGCTTAATCTGCCCAGTGTGTCCCTAAACCCTAAATCGATTAGTTTGCCCAGTGCGTCACGACCACATCCACACTGACGATCTGCCCGGTCTTCATTGCGAGGAAAAGCCCTCGCAACACTGCAGATATAGCCATCACCTGGGTTGGCACTTTGGGCTTAGGGTTTACGGTTTAAGGTTTAGGGCCCCGTATAAAAGCCTTTAGGCAACATATGAACTATCCAACGTGCCTACCCAGTCACTATGCCAGCAGTAGACCAAATCAACAGAAAGTCTCTTGAAAGTGGGGTCGGTTCAAGCTTTAATAGCACTCCATGTCGAAACAAGGCATAGTAGAGCTGACGCCGCGTCATCGACAGAAAGATGCGCAACAACGCGCCCGGACCGAAGATGACTGGAAAGCACAGGATGATAGTATCCTTACTTGTCCAGTATCTATAGGTGGGGTCATTCCCCCTTACAGTAACTGTTACCACAATGGGTTATAGGAGTTATAAGAACCCCCTTAATAAGGCCCCTTTAAGGACAGTTACTGGGAGAGGGAATGACCCAATCTATAGGGCATCCCCACGGTTATCCTTTTTGTTGATCTACTCTGTTTAGGGTTTAGGGTTTGGGGTTTAGGGTTTAGGGTTTGCCCCAACAAAGGTCAAAGGTTACCCACTGGGCAGGCAAGCTTCGACTTCTCGGCTCTCAGATCCATACTTGTGCAGGAACTGTGAGCAAGCCAGTAGCCACAGAACGCATCCAAAAATAAAGCACAATGCCTAGGATCCCTTAGGTGGACCCCCCACCCAATATCTGTGATGTTAAAAGATAAGGGGTGACTATTTTGGGGTCCTCTAATATTCCTATTCTACCACTATTACAAGGTGGGGGGCCCCAGCGCCCCAAAAGAAAAACCTACCGCTGAGTTCATTGTGGTCCAGGGATCTATAAAAGCTATGAAGACTAGACAAAAAAGCGGCTGGGAGAGATGGAACAACATTAAACCTGCAAAATCATAAACCCAGAAGATCTACACAAATCTTATAAGATTTGTAGGTTTCGTTGGTTTTATAGATCTCAGATCGATAAGAGTCCATAAGCTGGCGGTTCGCGGCGCTTGCAAACATTAAAACCCATAAAACCGATAACACCATTGAAAATCTGTAAACTTCACCGCCTCTACAGGTTTTATAGATCTCAGATCTATAAAACCTACACAAGCAGCGCTTCGTAGAATCTGAATTCTTAAGTCTATAAAGCCTTAGGAATCTATGGGGCTGATAGATAGATTTTGTTGCTTTTACCCTCGTGAAACAGAAGGTTTTATGGGCTTTATAAAGCTGATACCCGTAAAAACTATAGAAGCGGTGGTTCGGAGGGATTGACAAACATCAAAACCTATAGAACCAATAAAAAAACCCTAAGCCCTAAACAAGTACCAATATCCACTGCTTGGGTTCCCAGATGCATCCAGCAGTCCTTCCCACATGATCTCCGAGGACGTTGGTATATGGAGCTTGTCATCATGGGCTGTGCGCTTGACCTGCGGTTTCCACAGATCCTAAACAGTTTGAAGCTTAGGAGTATAGAGCTTAGAGGCTGTAAGGAACATTCACCTCACCATCTGGCTTGCACGGTAACTGTACGGGCCTAAACAATTACGAAAACCATTTCGATGTCTATGTGAGGTAACCTATGAAACCCTAAACTCTAAACCCTGAGACCTAAACCGTAAACCCTAAACCCTAAACGATATTTATACAAAGAAAGTAGAACCACAACCTTGGTAGTTTGTTTGGACACACAGATGTTTTTCCCGCGCTCCTTGGTGCAGTGGCCTTTCTTCAGATTGGACAGACAGCCCTAAACCCCAAACCCTAAATCCTAAACCCTAAACTCTAAACCCTAAACTCTAAACCTCAAGCTCTAAACCCTAAACCCTGGTGGCCACCTCCTCCCTTTGCGTCGAAGACCAAAATATGAAGAGCTCGAGGCCGAACCAGAGTAGGGAACCTCCAGGGTTCCGGGCTTAGGGTTTAGGATTTTGGGGTTTTAGGGTTTGGGGGTTTAGGGTTTAGGGTTTTAGGGTTTGGGGGTTTAGGGTGTAGGATTTAGGGTTTAGGATTTAGGGTTCAGGGTCACATGATGTGGGAGCTCAGGGGTTTGGATTTAGGGATTCTAGTTCAGGGCATTTAGAATTTGAGGTTTAAGGTCTCAGGTTCGGATGTAGGGCTGAATTCTTTTCTGCACTAAAAGTATTGGTCTTACGTTCAATGTCCGCCGATCGCATGTACCGTCATTCTGGCTAGCATTTTATTGAGTAGTTGACAGCGGCAGAGTGCAGCGCACGAACGAGCTATAGTCTAAACTCCTAGTATCCCCCTTAATTACCCCAGTATTAAATCCCCTATACAATCCCCTTTTCAACGCTCTCTTTTAAGGAGTTTAGGCTATAGCTCAAATAAATGGCATGTCTGAACCTTACACCCTAAACCGTACACCCTGAACTTACATCAGGTCTTATTTGGGTTATATTGGGATAACGGAAAATAAAATGGAAACCACTACTTGGGGTTTAGGGTTTCCTGAACAGTAGAGTTCAATAGAACCTAGCCCTTAGCCCCCAATCCCAAACCCTGAAACCTAACAGCTGATCTTGGCCATGGCATCCCTCTTTTCCCAAACACTTTGGGCACCCGCATACTATCCACAGTCAGCAAACGGACCTAAACTCTAAATGGTAGTTTCCCAAAATGAGGGGACCCTCATATAGACCCTAATACACTATAGCCGCTATAGCCCTTATTATGGGGATCCCCAAAAAGGTACCCGTAATTTTGAGAAGCCCCCATGCTCCAAGTTTTGAGGAAACCTTTGCGGCCTGCAGTAGCAATCAGCTCCACGAGCAGAAGTCCCTCAAGAACTTCATCGCCTACCCAGAGGGTCCATGTAAATGGGATATTTAGGGATATATATAGTGGTATACAGGGGTATATAGGGTTTAGGGTTTAGGGTCCAAGTACCCGATAATTAGGTACTTGGGTTTTGGGTAAGAGTAATTATGGTGTTGGTTTTGGGTAGTATATGGTTATTAAGTACTTGGACCCTTAGGGCTAGCAGCTGCTGATTCGTGGCCAGAAGTCCTAACCTGTTTCATGTGCAGGCTTTTCAAATCCTACAGCTGATGCAAAAAATCTGCATGCCCTAAGTAGGCCGTAATACCATACTTAAAGTACAAGGTACCTTAGGTCATGCAGGATTTTAGGTATCCACTGTAGTACAAGGGATAGTAGTCCCATGAGCCAGCAACTTGTTCCCCTATCGCCTCAACGCTAAACCATATATAACCCCAATATACTACAGTAGCTTCCATTTTCTTTTCCATTATCCCGATATAAGCCGAATATAATTCCCATATCCGCTTGGAATCTGCGTCAAGTCACTGAAGAGCTTCCGGTTGTCCAGGACCATCATCCTCAGGGATTTGGGATTTGGGGTTAGGGTGTAGGGTTTATGGGCTTAGGGTTGAGGGTTTAGGGTTGAGCGGTGGGGGTATAGGGTTTAGGGCCGTTTAGGGTTTAGGATTTGGATTAGGGACAGGCGTCGGCAGCTAACTTGTCAACCGGCACTTGGTGCTCAACGTGTTGCAGGTTCCGTAATCAATGCTACACAACCGTAAAGCCACAACCCTCAACTTTGAAAAGAGTCCCCTTACACTTGCTGGTTCTTAGTAGGGAATAAGGGTCGCACAAATAAGGACGGTATAGGGATTTTATGCCCATCTTCCCTACAAAAAGAACCCGTAACCCCATCCCTAAACCCTGTGCAAAGCAGAGCTTTACGTGCCCACCACCCTGCCTGGCCGCATCGAACATGAAGCCGAACAAGTGCCGCGGTCGCAAACGTCCACTAGCAAGCTGCACGGAAGCCTGAGGCGGCTTGGGATTGTTATAATCCCTATATAATACCGAAATATATAATCCCTATGATCCCTGTAGCTTCCATTTTCTTTTCCATTATCCCAAGATAACCCCAACATAAACCCTAAACCCTATATAACCCCATTATAATGATGTTCCTCAGGTTCTGGCTTTGGGATACAAGGTTTAGGATTTACCCCTGAACCCTAAACCGCTGTAGGATTCGTGTCTAACGTTTAGGTCTTTAGTGTTTAGGGGCTTGGGCTCCCAAAATTAGGATTAGCCCTCAGGGTTTCCGCTTTAGGGTATTGGGTCTCCCCTGAGATATGTGGGAATTTCACGATGACACCCGCTATTTCATGGAGCTGATTTCGAAAGCCTGCTGCATTGAGGGTGGGTTTGCTTTAAAGGTTTAGGGCTTTGAGTTAAGGGTTTAGGTTTCACCTTGAAGCAACCACCAAAGTGTTCCTAGACAGCATGTTCCCTGCCAGGGATCTCAAAAATGCCCTTACAACTCGTTCCTAATGCCTGAGACCTCAAATCCTATGGGTATTTTGGATGTGCGACCCCTCTGCTGGGAATGGTCCAACAATGCTTCAACATGCAGAGTTTACGGTTTAGGGTTTAGGATTTAATTAGGTAATACACGCAAAACGGGACCACTAAAGTTGAAAGGTCTAGGAGGAACTAAATCCTGCAACTCAAATTTTCCTGCAAGGGTGTGCGCTTCATCTTGTTCAAGATGTCTGGAAATCCTAAATCTTTAACCCTACAGTAAACCCGTGAACCCAAACTCTTAACCCTTAACTAACCACGGCTCAGCTGAGGCACGACACATGCCGGCTGGCCACGTGTAGGGCATAGATAAAGGACGCGGCCACGCTGCGAGCAGTTTGCGTAGACGTTGATGAGCAACCGTGACTTGCGTGTGGGCTCCACAGGGTCGATTTCCTTGTTGGTGGTCTCTAAACCCTACGCCCTAAACCCTAAGCCCCAAACCCCAAACCCTAATCCCTAAACCTTAAGATCCCGAAACCTGAGCCCCAGCAGGTATTGGAGGGATGGCTCCCTATCACGGTCTCTATGTAATCCCTTACTGTAGCCCCTATTCACCTTACTCCCTCACCTCTTACTAATCGACCTAAGCCCCAAGCCCTACATGGCATAGTGGCTTTCATTTTGTTTTCTATTTCTAGATCCCCCACTAGAAGGTTCATGGGAGGAGTTTTATAAGTGGGGTTGAAGCCAAGATGAATATGGTTATAACCTCATTTGAGCCATAGTCTAAACTCCTAGTATCCCTCTTAATATCCCCTTTAGTAGTCCCCTATTTAATGTCCTATAAAACGCCCCTTAAGGAGTTTAGACTACAGCTCATTTAGAGGACCTACAAGCCCACCTACAACTATCTATCAACCTTCAACTCATAAGCAAACACTAAGGTTCCGGAGTCACCGCCACACTGCAAACTTCATCGCCGTCACAGGCACTGGAGGTCCTGGGTTGTTGTTTCAAGGAACTTCAGTTAAGTTACCAGAATGAATATATACAGTAATTAATACGGTTTCCCCAGTATCGTAACTTAACTTCCTTCAGCCTGAACGCTATATATCCCTAAATACCGCTACAAAATTAGCTCCTATATACCCTTATTATAGTACCTTCAAGTAAGTTCCTTAACCCTAAACCCTAAACCCTGCACCCTAAACCCTATACCCAGTATGGTAACTTAAACTAAGTTCCTCAACAGCAACCCTCATCCCTAAACCTTCAACCCTAAATCCTAAACCCTAAATCCTAAACCCTAAATCCTGAATCCTAACCCTAAACCCTAAACAGCAACCTAGAATCTTTAAGGACCATGCCTGCCTCGCCTGCACATGGCTAGCATCCTCATAGTCCTAAGTCTGCTCCAGCACCATCTCAAACTTACTTTAGGGCTTAGGGTAGGGTTTAGGATTTAGGGTTTAGGGTTGATGGTTTAGGATTCAGGATTTAGGGATTCGGGTTGATGGTTTAAGGTTTAGGGTTGATGGTTTAGAGCTTAGGGTTGATGGCTTAGGATTTATGATTTCTGGTCTAGGGTCTAGGGCTTGGGGTCACCATCCCAAAGTTAATATCTGGCTATCTTTTGGGGTGTCCATAATAAGATACCATTTAGGTTGCTGGTTTTTATAAGAAAAACTGTACTTCTAGTTGTCATTTTTCAGGTGGGTCCGTAATAAGAAACATCTTGGATTTCGTGCATTGCGGCTTATAACACAAAAAAAACCTGGAAAAGCTGCTTTCAAGCTATCCCTAGAGTCTAGCGTAAAGGACGCTGGCCGACCTGTCAGTGGCTTGGCCACTACGCAGCTTTGTCCCGAAACGCTTTGCTCTTCATGCGCACTTCTGATGGCTTCGCAGCATATCCATAGCGCTAGCTGGCCAGCAAGGGCCCACCACATACGCAGTAATATTACACAGGCTACCTTCTGGGACTGTTGCCCAAAGCTGCAGCAAAGCATCTTGGAGCATCCTTGCTAGACTTTACACATCAACTTCTGTGCACCTACGAAGCACTTGGCTTGATGGTGGTTCGAAGGGTATGGAGGAATGGATGGCTATCGCAGTCCCCATATCATCCTTTAGACCAGCGCTACGCCTGTTCTTGTCTTTCCTACTAACCATCCCGGCCTTGCAGCCCTAAATGAGATCGACATCACGACAGGGGCTTGGGGTTTAGGGGTTAGGATTTAGGGACCATTTTCTTTTCCGTTCCTTCGATCCCTTTTCAGCACCAGCAAGAAACAGGCATGGTCAAGGCCCTCATTCGCGCCTGTTGCACAATGCATTGTGCAGCGGTTGTCCCAAAGAACCAGGTCTCCAGGTGTCCACTCCTCCAGACTGGTTGAAGGTACCTTTAAAGGGGTTTAAGGGGTAATAAAAGGGAGATATGTATATATATATATATAAAGATATAGATAGATAGATAGATAGATATATGTATGTATATATATATATTGATATCATATAGGGTTAAGGGTTCCGGGCTTAAACCACCAACATGCAAGAGCCTCGGGGAACATTGTCAGGAAGAGTCTTGAACAGGTTGCATCACACTTGCAGCGGCTCCCATTTGATGGTGAACTCAGAGGATGTCACGAAGGGCAGCAAGGATCGCCAGTGCTCCTGCTTCAAACTTGTGCCAGGTGGACTTGAGTGCTTCTCCAGCCTAAACCCTAAGCCCTATAGAATCTCCGCAGACACCCCTACGGCATCTTGATTATGCCCATATCTCCCAAAAAGCCAGTAACATTTTGACAAAACACCATTTCAGACAGGCCCACATACACAGACTTTGAGCTGCGGGAGCTTCTCAACATGCGGGGGGGAGGGGGGTCCTCAAAAACCCTGGGCAGATACAGGGAAAAGAAGGAGATTATAGGGGCCCTGATTAGGGGATTGTACCAGTGAAGTATATCGGGATCAGTTTGAGAAACTCTACTGGGTTGCTGTTAAGGAACTTAAATTAAGTTACCAGAATATGGCTATGTAATGAATAATGGGGTTTCCTTTTTACAGTACCTTAATGTTTGTTCCTTAGCAGCAACCCAGGCTTTGCTGCGTGTACGGTGCCTGCACGGAGGAGTCTTCGGTGGCATCGAGCTCGTAGCTATCCAGCTCTTCAGCTGTGACTGTTGCCTGGTCATTAGGCTTGAGGGTTTAGGGCTTGGGGTTTAGGGTTCAGGGTTTAGGTTTCAGGGTTGAGGGTTTAGGGTGCAGGGATCATAAATAGGGTGGCCAAGGGGATATATAGGGAGTACATAAGGGTCCGCCTTCAGGATTATAATTACAGGCAGGGATAATCTTCTGGATTTGGTAGCTGCCATAACAGATATACTGGACCTCAATGTAGACCCCAACATACAAGAGTCCTTGATATGGGGACCCCCCCAAACAGGGATCCCCAATTTTGGGAGAAAAAACAGCTTAAGAAATGGTGCAACTGAAGCAGTGGGGTAGTAAAGCCTTACGGTTGATAGCAAAAATCCTTGCCAACCTTAGTTAACGGCAGTTTACGGGATTCCTGCGGACCATGTGATAGCCATGGAGTCCTTGTTTTGGGTTCAAATTTTAAGGGTGAAAAGGGCAATATTAGGGTCAAAAATTGGGGTTGTATAGGGATACTGGAAAATGAATTGGAAACTACTATAAGGGGGTTGTATAGGGTCAAGGGTTTAGGGGTCTGGGGTCAAGGGTTTAATGTACCTAGCTCCATGCAGATTTGGATCAACAGCATGACAATCTCTTAGGACTCCAGAGGTGTTAGGAGCATGCAAATCTAGCCGCAAAGGTCAGGAAGAGCGTGCCTCCAATGTATTGTAAATGCCAATCTCACCCCATCTGAGCTATAGTCTAAACTCCTTACAGGGGGGTGATATAGGGAAATATATAGGGGACTTCTATAAAGGTTACTGAGAGCTCATATAACCTTGTTTCCATGTCTTTTACATGTCCTTTTCCTTTTCATTCTCACTTTGCGCCCTTCCGTATGGAACTACCAAACCCATATCGTAGAGGTAGCCAGATTTCTGGAAAGGGAACAAACCGGCCCACAGGTTAAGTGTCCTCTGGTGGCCTATGAATTCCCCCGAAGACCTCGTACCTCGTTGCCAAGCCACATAAAGGCTGGTCTGCATACAAGCTCTACCTGTTTCTTTCTGATTCTTGTACCCCTTCCCCTCCCAGGGCCTCTTTCGAGAGCACTCGGCACGTACCGCCATTAAAGCCGTACAATGCCAGGCGCCCATTCAGGGGATGCCGCAACACCATCCTCAGGACAAAATCTGTCAAGCTGAAGAGATGTGGCATGGTCATAATACCAAGCATGCCTGTAGTAAAAGCCACGGAAACCCTAAACCCTAAACCCTAAACCAAACAGAATACCAACCAGCAGCATCAGCAGCCTCACCGCCTGTATGGCTCGCGCAATAATGAGCGCATAGCAGTGACCAGAGTAGTAGCGGTAAGATAAGAACAGTATACATGATTTAGAGCTGAGAGGCTTGGGCATCCTCACAATCCTTCAGGGGACCTATGAACCTAGAACCATAATAATCAATGGCAATTAGTTCAGGCATTTGGTCATGTCTCACCACAGAGGCGCCTCTATTCGGCCTCAAGCAAAACCCTCGTTCTGAGATGGCCCAAAACCCTGAGATAACCTGCCGAGAACCTCCAATTATGAGCCATAGTCTAAACTCCTAGCATCCCCATCAATATCCCTAAAAGTGGCCCCCTATATAATTCCCTATATAACCCCACCTGTAAGGAGCTAAGACTATAGCTCATATTAGGATTTCTTGGATCCCCGAAAGCGGCCCCCAAAAGTGGCACCCCCCATTCTTTGGAAGCCTCCATATGGGGGGTTTCCCAAAATTAGGGGTACCTCTTTGGAGGTCCCTCTGATAAGGACTAGAATGTTTTTGGGTCTCCCCATTTTAGGAAACCACTATCATACATATATATATATATCTGAGCGAGTTATCCATGAAACAGCTGAGTAGTGTTTTGTTGTGGTTAAACCTAGTAAGATTATATTCCTTATAAAAAAACTATACCCCAAAAGGAGGATAGAATCTTACTCTACATTGGGTACCATAGTATCCCCAAATTAAATACTACTCAACTGGAGAACCTGGTAGGCCTAGTAGGCAGACTTTCCTGGCCGAACAAGAACCGTCTTTCAGCCCCTACAAACCCTTTGATTTCAACTATGAGAAACAAAATCTGCCCTATGATACACTTCCGTAGATTACGATCCCAAATGGTGAGAACCCACTTTATCCCAAACTAGACCCTACGTCCCTTAACCCCAAACCCTGAAACCTCAACACTAGGGCTCTTAAACATTGAGCCGAAAACAAACCTTAAACATCAAAGACCTAGACCTAAATACCATGAAGACCTAAATCCCAAGCCCTGAGCCCCAAGCTCGAAACCCCAAACCCTATTGCAAGGTTCACTGGTTGTTATAAGTGGCAGATTCCCTGCCCTTTTAACCCACCCCCCCCCCCACCCGCCAGTATAGTTGTATAGTACCAGTTTATAGTGAGGGGAGTATTTAATGTTCGCGGGAAAGGGGGTGAGGGGGGGGGAGGGGGGTGTTGGGGGTAGGTGATTAACTCGGAAAGCTGTAGCTACAACATAGTTTGGGGTACTAATATACCCCCACTTGTAACCATCGAAATGGGACTTTGGTAGCCCAACCCCCCCCCCCCCAAGATAGGGCTCTACTATCCTCAGCTATGGTCTAAACTCCCAGTATCCCCCTTCATAACCACTATAATACTCGCCCGCCTACATAATGCCCTATATAAGCCCCTTTTAAGGAGCGAGTGTAGACTATAGCTCACATGATACTTGAACGGTCCTGATTTGGGAGGTGCTGCTATCAGAACCCTAGTATCAACCCATGAACCTTTCAACCCTGAACCCTAAACCCCATGCGAACATGGAAGCCGCACAGGCCCTATTAAAGTCTTTCTGGCACCCCTTTTGGGCTTCCATGCTTGTTTAGGGTTTAGGTTTCAGGAACCCCTCTAAACCCACAGGTCTGGGTGATAATAAAGATCGTAACATATCTGGGGTATGAAAGCCTGGGTAAGCCCGGTAAATATCCATGTCGATGAGTGTCCTCTTTATGGATCATGATGGATCACTGGGGCAGTCACAAGGGGCTTCTGTAGAGACTTTGGAAGGTTCAGAAACCCTCGTTGGTTTCATGGTTGCTGTCTTCTTTCCGGAAGGCAGACGCCCAGTGCATTTGGCAAACATCTCTCTGCCTTGGCCTTTCCACAAGCCTCACCCACAACTTTCCCTGAGCCCTGCAAACCCTAAAACCCTAAACCCTAAACCCTAAACCACATACCCTAAACAGTAGTTTCCATTTTATTTTCATTATCCCAAGATATGCCCCTATATAACCCTAATATCCCTAAATGTAATTTCTTATATATAAATCCTGAACCCTAGGCCCGGAGCCCTGACTCCTAACTCTAGCTCTTGCATCCAACGCTCCCAATCCTAAACTCCAAATCCTTAATCCTAAGGGTTTAGGGTTTAGGGTAGCCCTAAACTGTTCACTAAAAAATCCTGAACCTCACCATTTAATAGTGGCTTCAAATCCTCAGCTGAAGCGAATTTGGGACAATCTTCAAGATAGACGACCATTTGGGGTGAGGTCAGGTGAGCCCTAAACTCTAAACCTCAAACCCTAAGCCATATACATGTATATATGAACCCTAAACCCTAAACCCTCAACCCTAAACATATATAGGATTTTATATATGAACCCTAAACCCTAAACATATACATATACATATAAATATGAACCCTAAACCCTAAACATATATATATATATATATGAACCCTAAACCCTAAACCCTAAACCTTATACCCTAAACAGTAGTTTCCATTTTATTTTCCATTATCTCAATATATACCCCTATATAACCCTAATATCCCTATATATAATTTCTTATACATTTATGTATTCCTTATGAATTCTTCGGCAAAACCTTAGGACGCTGCGGTACTCGCTGCGGAGGGCTAGCTGCGCGCTGCTCCGGGGTTAGTGTCCTGAGTCACTCATCCCCTGGTTTTAGGGTTTGAGGTTTAGGGTTTAGGGGTTTAGGGTTTAGAGCTGCGAGGTTCAGAGTTTAGGGTTTAGGGTCTAGCGTTTAGAGTTCGAGGTTTAGAGTCTAGGGTTTGGGGTTAAGGGTTAGGGTTGGGAGTTTGAGGCTGTTAGGCTTTTTGGATATGGCGGTACCTCTGGTCAGCAGGGTAGCCAAGGAACGGAACAAATGAACACTACTACATCTATCGAGTTTTATGGGACTACTGTAAGAATCAGAGGTATGTATCAGGGTTCAGGGTCTGGAGCCTTTAGGGTTTGGGGATTCTGGTTTATAGGGTTTAGGATTAAAAGCAATTCTCCGATTTCTGATAAGACGCTTGCAAAATCATCACCAACCATTTGTGGAGCCAGATTTCCAAAAGATTGCTAGTTTGCATGTGACCCAAACCCTGAACTTAACATCCTGAATCCTGAACCTGCAACCCCCTAAACCCTGAAGCGGACCCCAAACCGAAACTGCACACTCTCTCTAAACTCTGAACCCTTAATGCCACCAGAATATTTTAGGGTTCGGGCTTGAGGGTCTAGGGTTTAAAGTAAAACCCCAATTTTCCTAGACCCCAGTCTTTAAAGCTTGGTTCTGGGGACTTCCAAACCTGCTTTTGGCAAGGGTTAGGGTTTAGGGTTTTGGGTTGGACCCTTTAATGGGGTCTTGGAACTCTTATGAGAAACAATAATGCCCACGTAGGGTTAAATCTTGATATCAATTTGAGACTAACGTTTGGGACCCACTCCTTCAATCCTAATCAGTAAGACTCTTCATGCTTAACGTCTTGTTCATGTACATATGTATATATCTTATAGCTTTTATATGTGTGCAGAAAAAAATATAGACACATGCGTATACATATGTGTTCAATAGTTCAGCCTACCTTGCTGTGTATGGCCATACGACGAGAGTAACAAGGCATGAGGGCCGGTTTAGTGGTCAGGGTCTGTGTTGGCAATGCTACGGCTGATTGAGAGCTTTCTGAAAACATCGCGGGCCTTATGAGGGAAAAATCGTGGTCTTCTGAAGGATACCACTTCGCCCTTAGCCGAATATACAGGCATCCCCAAACTACGTACTGTGAATGGAGGATATCTTGCACCACCATACATAGCGTCTACACGAATAGTCACAGCTATTTTGGGATTCCTAGTCGTGCAAGAGTCCCTCCATGCACCATAGTAACAGTTGGTTGTCATACTAGCAGCAATGATGCTACTAAAGTACCAAGATTGAAAGCATCAACGCCCCAAAACGGGAGAACCAATTTTTGGGAACCCCCCCCCCCCAACCGGGAACCCTAACCACCCCCCACACCCCCCCCCCCACCTCTACTGTTTGCCTAGTGTCGGGAAGTCTGGCGAGGTGCGATGAACCTGCGGCAGCTTCAAACCCAATGTTTGATGCCAAACATGGAATGAAGGGTACCTTTACAGGAGGATATAAGGGTTATACATGGGTATGTAGGGATTATACATGGTCTAGGGTTTAGGGATATGGTGTTTGATGCCAAACATCCTGCACGATCCCAAGCACCTCATTCAAGTTAAGGCCATGCCCGATTTTTTCGTATGGGCAGTACCACGTCTCATAAAGGTAACACGATGAACTACAGCAAATCAATCATGGAAGCACAAATCAAAGCTGCAGTTATCACCCTAAACCCTAAACCCCAAACCCTAAACTCTAATCGAAGCTGTTGTCAAGATGTTGATAATGCGTTAGGCCAGGATGATCTCCCATCGCTGCCACTGATCATGCAATTCTTACCGCGGCCGCCTGAACACGTACCATGAAGTCTTATTTGAAGTACCCTATGCTAACTAGAAGTATACATGGAATATGGGACCAGAATGTTGGTGACTATTTAGGCTTCTATATGAGCTATTGTCTAAACTCCTAGTCTCCCCCTCAATAACCCCGAAAGTAGTCCCCTTACTCCCCTTTTAAGGATTTTGGACCCTAAACCTTAAACCCTATCTAATCCCCTATATACCCCTTTTAAGGAGCTCAGACCCTAAACCTTAAACCCATCATAATCCCCTATATAACCCCTTTTAAGGAGTTTAGATTATGCACGGAACTTGTTTGAAGAGCCCGGTCTCCTTGCGGCATATCCTAAGGAACCTGCTCTGAATCCGTCAGC